CAAGCCAAGAGAACAAGGAAACGCGGCACCATGCCAGCAAGCCGGCCTCGAGGCAGGATCGAGACTCGTCCGACGACCCTCAATTTACAGTAGAAGCCCAAAAGGTGGAAACCCAATTTAGGGTTTCGGGGTTTAGGGTTTAGGGTTTAGGGTTTCGGGGTTTAGGGTTTAGGGTTTAGGGTTTTGGAAACCCAATAGCCTCAATCCTTAAGAGAACTGTATAGGGAATCCCAGCACTATTTGTCCTTCATCTGCTTTCCAACTTGTTGGGGTTTACTATATGCCCTACCGCACCTGAGCCTGAAAGTCATGACGTAAGGATTACATCGGCTGCACCAATGTTCAAGCTGAGCCACACTAGACCTCAACTATTAAGGTTTGCTCTTTGTAAGGCCAGGGGTTAGCACAGTTTCTCATATGGTTTGGGGGGCGCATTACACGATTACGATATAAGTCGAAGAAGGGGATGCTATCACAAGTTGTTCTGACCCCCATGTTGCGCTTCTTCTAAGCCCTCCAAACGCCTGGCTCTTGAGGCGCACTGGAGCCCGAAACTCCGAAAGCCCGGATACAGGGCCTTGATCAGTAGAATAGGGCTTTGGGGCATGCTATCGCATAAGTTCTTCAAGGAACACTAAGGAACCTCACAATCCAGATTTCTATTCTCCTTGAATCTTGGCATCTTGGACCCGAATCTCGCAGACCCTCAAGCCTCTGAAGAAACCCTGCCACTGCAAGTCGCCCCCTAGGGTGCGGGGTCCCGGGCGTGTGCGTGTAAGGGGCTTTAACTTGAGAGCTGAGGATTTCGAGTCTTTACTCTGATTACTCCCACTTCTACTGTGACCACTGGTAATTCAGGGGCCTTTATAATTAGAATAGGGTTTTGGGGCCCATTATACTTTAGTTAGAACAGGGAACCCCCAAGATAGTTTAGGTAATTATTGAAGCCCCTACATTAGGTGTGCTGTTGTGGTCGGTGCGGTGCTCAGGGAAGCAAAAGATACGAAAGAAAGCAGAACCAGGAGGACTATCAACTATGGTTGTGTCCGAACCACGAAACTCTTCTTTGAATGTGCAAGGGAGCTAAAAAGTCGAGTATGCTTAGCTTCCCGTCCGAACGCAGCCCTGCTTACAACCTAGAAACAGAACCCTACTTGGAGGTTCAGGGGACTTAGTAAGTCGGTTATAAGTAGGGTTATAGTTGAGGTAACTCCATTTAGGGTACTTATAACCCCATTTATAACCTACTTACTCAGTCCCCTGGACCTCTAAGTAGAAACAGAACCCTACAGACCTTACCCCGCCTGAAAACACGACAAACCGCAGACCCATCCAAGCAGAAGCCCAAACCTTCACTGAAACCCTGAACCCGTACCAAAACCATCAAGGCTTCTCAAGAGACACCTATCGATCTATCGGTCTATCCATCCATCCACCCTTCCACCCAGCCAGCCATCCATCTTTCTATACGTGTATATATATATATATATATGTATATAGATACTAAGAGATTTCTGGATAAACAATATCATTGTGCGTGTATATGTATATGCATATGTACTTTACAAGCCAAAGCTCGAGCTTTCCGACGTGCCTCTGGCCCGCAACTCTTCGTTGGGGTTCGCCGGGGCACGGATTCCCCGGCTCTTTGAGAAAGCCCAAAGCAGAGCATTTTGGGATTGAGGGCGGGTCAGGGGTAGGGTTTAGGGGAAGAACCAACACAGAGAGAATGCCCCCCGGTGGGTTTTGGAGTTCGGGTCTTCGGGTCGGAGGGTCCAGGAGCCTGAGGGCGGGTTTGGAGACGTGTCTTAGCAGTTTTGTTGGCTTTAAGCCGGCGTACTACAGCTAAGACATCGGAATCAGGGTGGCGGGGTGCTATACCAAGGATGTTCACGTTCCGTTTGTAGTTTAGGGCCTACCAAGAACAAGCTTCGCATTTGTGCTGACTATCATGCTGATGATATGCGTGGCTGTGGTGGTGAAAAAGTGAAATCGAAGAGGTAGATGAAGATGAGAATGAACATGAAGCTGATAATGATTCTCATGCAGACGTTGATGTGACAACGATGATTTCCATGATGATGATGATGATGATGATGATGATGACGATATCATCATCATGATGACCATGATTATGTTGATGATGGTGATGATGATGATGATGATGATGGAGAGGATGATGGTGATGATGATGATGATGGTGTGAATAATGCTCGTTGTAGTTGTAATGACGTCGTCGTCGTAGTAGCTGTAGCAGCAGCAGGAGCAGGCGCAATGGCAAAAGCCATAGCAACACTCATGATAATCAGAATGATACAAAGACAGACACTGACAATGACACCCATGACCGTCACTGCTAGAACAAAGGTTCGTGGCTCCTGACAATACCGCCTGCGAAACGATATTTATGGATTCTTTCAGTACGGCATCGATCGAGTTTGAAGTGGCAGCAGAGACAAGATAAATGCATGCGAACTTATCCTCCCTCAAGTAGCACAAGAGCGCGTACTGCATCGCAATCCTGCCGTGTTACAGCTGGGCTTCAAGCGTTTCCGCGATACTTCCTTCTGCAGCTGCTGTCTTTCGCCCCAGTCGAATTGCAGTTGTCTCAAGAGCCACCACGTGGGGCCATGCTAGCCGCTGCTAGCCGCGTAGGTTTCCTCCGGCCGAGCCGGGTTTTCCCTGCTCTCTCTGGATCCATCGGAAGAGAGCCAAATGGCCAACTTCCGTTGCTGGACATCTCCAGCCGCGCCTCTTTGACAGTGCCGCTGGGAGGGTGTTCTTGGCGCTGCATGCAGCTACATGATGCAACCGCCGTAGCGCCAGAGGTTTAGCTCCCGCCCTCCAGCACGCTCTCGTTCGCTGGCCAGCTGCGCTCGGCGCTCTTCGCGGGCCAAGAAGAAGTTGAGATCTCCGGCGCTGCGGTCCCAGGGCCGACAGGAGTGGCTGCGCTGGAAGACGTCCCTTCTCACGAAAACCATGTCATGCAGGACGACGTAGACCAGCACGTAGCCGCAGGAACGTGCCAAGCCGTAGATCCTCCTGGTAGTGGCGACCTTGTCGGGCCGCGCTGTCCCCGCCCACTCGGCTTCCAGCGTCAGAACCCGAGGCCGGATGCTGGGACACATGGACCGCCACAGTACGAAATCCATGCCATCGGTATCCATGCTAAGCAGATCCAACCGCGATGGCGCTATCCCAGAAATGCCTCGGTGAGCAGAACCTGTTCGCACCGTCGAGTTCACCAGCGAAGCTGCGAAAGTAGGCTTCATGAAGACCTTCTGCAAGCCGATTCTCTCATCGGAGTTGCTGTCGTCGAACATGTACCCGCGGAAGCCATGGGCAACACGAAGAAAGCGGGTGCTGCATTGCACGCCGTACTGTGTTCCAATCTCCACAAAGACCTTTGTTGTCACACCAATACATCTGAAGGTCTGCTCCAAGATTCCATCCAGGCCATACTGAGAATAGACCTTCCGCTCTTTCTTTAAAAAACTGCAGGGCTCCCCACACGTCAGCTCCGTGACCTTCGGTAGCAAGCTCCCACTCTTTTGCGTATGCGCGCTTGAGATGCGGAGGTGGCCGTGGATGGCCCCTAAGAGCTCCTTCTCCAGAGCCAGGAACTCCCTACGATTCAAAAAGGGCGGATCCCAGGGGAGAGGGCCCGAACGGTTGAAGGACACGTTGCCGCTTTCTGCGCCCTCTGGCGGTCTAGGAGGCTGCAGCTGTTCCGACGGGTCGAAGAGTTGGCACCACTCTTCCCAACCCCGCCGACACCACTTCCACTGCTCCAGCTGCTCCTTGACGACGGAATCGGCAACACGATGTACTCGAAAATGAATCTGCATGAGCATGAACAGCAGTCCGACTGGTCGGCACCTCTGCAGGTGTAGCAGCGGCTGCCCGCTGCCCATTTGCAATGCGACGCGATGCTGCCTCGCGGGCACCACACTGCTCAGATACTGGAAGCTCCTCGCAAAACTTTTCAGCTCGGAGTACTGATCCGCGAAGTGAGCGCACTTCGACATTGCAACCGCACCCGGCTGCGGCCAAGAGTCCAGCTGAGGGGACAACGGGCAGAAGGACCGAAGGTCTCCAAACCAAATATACGATGCAGAGAATCTTCAGTCAGCTGTTACTGTAGCGCCTGTGGCTTTTGGGGCGGTTGGCCTGAAGCTTAAGGCGGGGTTACATGAGATGACCCTTCTCCTCGTTTTCCCCTTCCACCCTCCCAGCCAGTTCTGCTCTGGTGTTCTGATGTCTCGAGCGAAAACGGAGACAACTTGTGCACAGAAACCTGAAACCCTGGGCTTTTATTATGGTTTTTATATGAGCCCTAATATATTGGGTTTTGGGGCCAGGGTTTCTTAATCAGGTTGCTACATTTAACCCGAAACCCTAAACCCTACCCTTAGGGCTTTAGGAAGCTCGGCTTTAGCGCCTCCGGGCAGTCGCTGCTCTCCCCGAAATCCTATAAAAAAACCCACAAGAAGCAGAGATCTGCCACACGACACGGGAAACTTCAAACCCAAGAGCCCTAGTTATCTTGAATTAATTAAGGGGGGTTTTAGGGTTCAGGGTTTAGGGAATAGACCACACCACACGGAGAAAAGGAGAAAAAACAAAGAGCGGGAAACAGCAGGCGCACGTGACCGAGAATAAAGCTCAGGCCAGAGCTGTACGCGATTTGTCAAACATCCGGTACAAGCCACGACACAAAATCCAATCCAACTTTATTGTGCAGTGCAGGTGCATAGATACTACCTGCAGAGCATCAACAAAGATGGATTCTGTACATCCGTGCAACTATCCCAAACGAACAGGTCGTACGCCGAATCGGCACCAATCTCTTGAGACAAGAGCACGTGTCTCTCAACCTCCCGGCGCATGGATACAGCCAAGGAGTGCTGAGTTGGCCACGGATGTGTGCTGTACACGGACTTCATAAAGAAAGACAGAGAAGCCAGCTAATTGCTTTGCCTGTTTGGCATCAGATCTTCCTAAGCATACCTGAACCGCCTCCTCCAAGTCGTGGCGGGTGGCCGTTGCAAAGTGCCGTCGGTGACATAATCGGACTGTGCGGTGACCTCATTTCGGCTTAAACATAGCATCTCTTGTGCATTCCGGGGCCTGGGCATCACTCCGAGTCCGCGACGCTTTGCGAATCTGCCGGCACCGCAGCATGAATAAACGTCGATCGCTGCGACACTTCCAGCTGATTACTTTGCCATTGATTCATCCATTCGTCCAGCGACTCCTCCTCTTTGACGAAGATTGTCCTGCGACATGGAGCCTCGAAATGGCGTGCACAGTCCCTGACAAGGTGTTCGTAGCGGCCGCAAACCACAACGGAGCTTGCGCGGAGCGGGCGCGCTTCCTGCTTCCGCTGCCGGAGTGCGCGCAGGACTCCGGCTGCCAGGTTCGAGCCTCAGCGCATGTTGGGGAGTATCAGCGTCTAGCAGGTCCCGCGGTGACAGTGCTAAGATTGCTGCTGACAAACATCAAACCACGAGGAGGGTCATCGTCGAGCCGGATGCTGGCAGAGAAGCCGTTTCGCCTCATCTATCAAGCATGGTATCCAACATGTTTCATATAACGGACAAGCACCACGCCAGAAACAGTACATCTGTACAATATACATGAATGTGCCAGCATTTTCCACAAGACTAGCTAATAATTCAATGTATCCACTATAATATAATCTGATATGACCTTGTATGATACGAAATAATATCACATGGCCGCCTGAGGTCATCCACGCAGGGCTGCAGCTCCTCGGAGCCCAGCAAAGCCTTAGCTGATCTTGTCGAAAGCCTAAACGCCTCTTTTGCCCAGTCTTGACCTCAATAGAAATTTGGGCTTACAGAGGGTTTAGGGGTCAGGGCCTCTAGTCTCAGGCTTTAAGGATAACCTTCATGACTGGCCCTTCTCTCGGCTGATTCACACGACGATGAAGGCTCTTAGAGCGCAGTTGATATTGCTGGCACCGCCGGATCTCATTAACTCTGTGGTACTTTGGGTGTACCACCAGTACCTCTAGCATCATTAGGGTTTAGGGTTTAGGGATGAGTCTTGGGATTGCAGTACCCGAGCATTAGCCAATTTCGTCACAAGCTGTCCGATTCATACTCAGGCTGCCATTAACCACGCCGGATCACGGCTCCGGCATGCTCCGGCATTCTACTTAGTAAATATGAATCTACTCCAACTGGTGTACTTCTTTGTGAATCTTTATGAGCCACGATTTTCCAAATTTAATGAGTAGTAAAACTCAGAGGACCCACCTGAAGATCATACAGCACACTGTGTTTTGTCATGATTGAACTAGGAGCCTTACGAGTGACATCAACATCATCTAGTCATCTGTATCTTGGCGCCACGTAGTGCTCCTTTTTGCTAAGGAAACTACAGGTGGGGAGTTTAGGGTATAGAGGGCTTCTATAAGGCTTCTAGAAGGTATATACACACACCTTCTATAAGGCTCCTAGATCGGCAGCTACCCACCTGAAAATGTCCTAGACATTGTCAGGGGCAGCATGGTGAAGGTTCGTAGTCCCATGACGTGGATGTTTACTTTGAAGGGCTGGTAGCCCAGTAACCTAAACCCACCCCTATACTCTTAAACCCCTGACCCTAAAACCCCCTAAACCCCAGAACCCCTGAGCCCTAAACATTACTGAATCTAAACAACCCTGAACCCCCACATCTTAGAAGCCCTGACCCCTAAACCCTAAACCCCCTGAGCCCTCAAACTCAGGTCTGGACATCTGCGAAGTTGTCGAAGCGATTGAAGTGCAAGATCTTTACCTGAAGATAAAACCGAGAGAGATGGTTCAAGGAAAGGACTGATCATTACTAGTGCGTGTATTAGGGTTTAGGGTTTAGGGGTTTATTCCTATCCTTACTAGGCTTTCTAAGTTTGGGGTGTAGGACAGAAGCTTCGAATCGAAGTTTGACTCGTGGCTGAGCACTGGGCATCATGTTGAAAAATCCCTCAGCTCCCCTTGACGTAGGGGCCTTCACAATTAGAGCAGGGTGTTGGGGCATACTGATGTGCCCATTTTATTCAAGAGCCCGAAAAAGGAATACTTTTGGTAGTTGGTAGTTGTTCCGACCTCTAAATTACTCCAGTCTCAAGGTCCGCTTCCCAAGAAAAGCCATGGATTGCATCAGCCCGGCGTAGTTTGGCAGGAAGTTTGGGAAACCTCAAACCGTAGACCCTAAACTGGCCCTAAACAGACCCTAAACCCTGAACCCGAAACAACGAGAAAGCAGTTCGTGACAAGGAGCCGAAGTGTCCAGATTCCGGGGGCCGCCCTCCCCGCAGCCATGGACTTCTACGAAATCGTTTGGCTGCAGGTCCTTGGAGTCTCTCTCAGCCATGCCATGCCGCTGAAGAAGCTGGGCTCGTGTGAAGCAACGTAAATGAGTTGCACATAGTAGAGACGGTGTATGACATGCGTTCCTTTTGGTGGCTCCGGTCATGTTCTTTAGGACGAGCCCTTCTTTTGAGGCCCTCGCCTCTTGAGGACCCGCAACCAGCATCGTTGCCGGGGCCTCGAATTCGATCTGCACCACTTGCGTGGGCCTCACGTCCTTTCACGCGCCGTGCCGCCGATGCACAAGGCACCAACGCCGAGCCGTGCAATCTCAACCTCTTAGACACCAACACCATCAGAAGCAAAAGCTAAGCCGACGCTGCCTGCTCCGTCGTCTGCACTATGGCAAACCGCGCAGTCCGGGTGAACAACCTCATGTTGCGCTCGGCAGCAGTCTGCACTTAGAACGAGCCTACAGTCACGACCTGCCTGTCGCCGACTCTCACATCGCACGCAGGCAGTGGACGTCTGGCTCTCGCACCGCTCCTGCAGGAAGAAAGAACTTCGCACACAAGCAAAAGCCTTGCCGAATGTCAAAATATGAAAGGACCTCAAAACCGGGACGAAGTGGTCTGTTGTCATCACGACGGACTTCATGGCTGTGCTGCCTTCCAGCATATATGTCAGCGTAACGAGGTCGCGCTCGCGGCGTTGCATGGTTCTGCACCTGGAAACGTCGGCATGCTGCATGGTCAGCAGCACGGCGCCGACCTGAATGGAGCTTGCCGGCACCGGCTCACTGTTTCTGGAAAGCACCATCGTGTCCGGCAGCAGGCAATGCTGCAAGTCCATCGCTGCGGGTGCCGTTTGCGCTGTGCGCACTTCGTCAACAGGCTGTGAGTTTGCAGAGTGCTGCTGCAGTGCGGCTGCGCGCCTGACTTCCATGGCCCGGAGATCGACGGCAGCGATCTCTGCCAAGGCGGCGTTCAGCATTGCGGTCTTCCCATCGTTCCGACGCGGCTGGAGGAGTCTGAGCAGCTCATGGCCTTTGAACTCCTCGTGCCTTTCCTCGAGCTTGGAGTAGAGGGAGGCAGACCAACGTTGAAACTGGCTGGTCAGCCTGCTGTTTACATCTGAGGCCGACCGGCCGCTGAAGGCCACGGCACGGGTCTCCTCTTCGATCTCGGCCCGGACCGAGGGTTGCACGAGATGTGGCAGATGGCGCCACAGCCAGGCCACCAGCGCCTTCCCAACGTTGGTCACCGAGACAGTAAGCTGAGGACTCGCAGATTCCGGATTCCGAAACATCTCGGCATGAAACTCGTCTTGGAGGACATGCCAGGCCCAGGTGGCCTCGCTCATGCCTGGCCGACCTGCTTTTTGTAAACTTGGAAGTATCCCCGCTTCACCAGCTTGTCCTTAGGCGCAACACGGGCTACAGCAACTGAAGACTGGCGCACCAAACTCCGAAAGAAATGAAAGCTATGAGAAATGCACGCAAGCATCGAAATGCTTGGGAATCGACGCATCCTGAGATCAGAGAACGGGAAAGGAAGCTCTCAAACTGGCGGCAGTGCAGCCACGGCCGGACACGAACATAGAAGTAGCCTGAAGCCTAAACGCCTAAAGGGCCTAAAGCTCCGGGCGAGGGTCGGTGCCAATGCCATGCACTTCCATCATGTGGAGAAAACGTGCAACGGTGAGAGGCCGAGGAGGTTCCGCGGGCTCGTGGTCTAGCTGCGCCGAGGTAGGAGTCAGAAGGGCACCCTTCGAGAGATACGGCACATCACCATCCAGCAGCAAGGGGGCTGTATCTATGGGAAGAATCTCCAACCATCCCTGGTCCAGCTGAGTCCTGTGCTGCACTCGGAACTGGCCGTTGAAAGGAATCTCGACATCAACGAAAGCCAGGGTGACGGTCCTTGCCTGCATGACACAATCTGGAGACAACGATGCTAGAAAGTAGCGCAAGATGAGGTCGTACACTGTCATGGTGTCCTTCCTCTCCTCTGCATTCTCCTCACGCTGCAGCCTTCCAAACGCAAAGGAAAAGCGTCGGAGTAGATGATCTGACTGCAGGCTGGGTGTGATAGGTTCGTGATCCCCTGTCACCACGCCCTTGCGGGGCTTTTGCAGCTTATCATCTTCGAGCAGACGCTTCGCATACGCCTGAATGTCTCCACCCGCGTTCAGGCCGTCTCGCCGAAGCATCGGCAAAGGTGCTCTTGCCAGGTCCCTGACGGTGTGCTCCAGCTCAGCCTCTTCGTCCTCAGAGTACTGGCTCGACTCCGTCCTTGGATAGCTGATGTAGCCCATTTCGTAGAGATTCTGTGCCAGGCGCTCCGTGTAGGGTGGATCATAGCCATAGGCTGCCGCAAGCTTCATGAGGCCCACGAAGTTCAAAGGCTTTGGCCTCTCAAAACCCGGAACCAACTCGTTCCTGATCTGCTCCACTTTGACAGCCACGCTCTGCGTTGCCTCAGCCTTCACCACAGCACCTGTTTCTTGCTCGGCTGCATCCTTCGGAACCATGGGACTCTGGGCCTTGCTCTTCCCTGCCCCGGCGCCCTCTGCACTCTCCGCCTCTGCTGGGGGTGCCATTCGGTCCTTTGACGGGGAGAACTGCGAGCTCTCTTCCGACGATGCCTCGCAATCCTCAAGTCCCTCGCGTGGGTCCGACTGCTCTGGGCGCCTGAGGGGGTCGGCTCAGAAAAGCACTTTGCATGGAAAACATGATGGGATGAGATGTGCGAGCCCCAAACACGGCCTCTGCTTGAGGACCATATCAATCACTTTCTTCTGTTTCCGTGCATCCTCCTCGCTTTTCAGCGGCTCTGAGTAGCAGTCGAACTCCCCGGTCGACTCAGAATACAGAGAGACCTTCACGCGCCAGGTCCCCTGCGCTGCCTTCTTCGAGGACTCAACCACGAAATGATGAAGAGCAAGGAAGATGGTTGGGGTCTGCACAGGGCCATAGCTGAGCGATGGCTCAAAATCCTCTTCGCCCTCTTTCGCGGCGCGACGCTCTTGCCGCGAGGCACTGAACTTTGGCAGAGCTCCTGCCAAATGCTCCCGGTGTCTGTCCACGAAGGCCGAAAGGGTCAGCGTGCAAGCCTCACGAAAAGCGCTCGACTAAGTTGGCATGCTTGCACAAAGCCTCTGCCACCCTTCTGAATCCGGGCAACAAGACTTTAGTAATCGGGCCTGTCCACCCCTGTAGTCCACTTGTCGACGAACTTCACAAGCATCCGCCACAGCCTCATCGAGCGGCTTCAGGTTGCTGAGCGCCTTCCTTTGTTGCAAGAACATCAAAGCTGTCTGGCAGCCGTTGCGCCTAAGCAAATCCTGTCTGAAGCAAGCCCAAGGAGCAAGAGATGCGGCTTTCCAAGGGAAGTGAACCAACACCTTGCACGCGGAACATCGAAAGGATAAAAAAAACTCGCACTGGGGCGTCGCTGCACTTTGCCGCTTCAGCTAAGGAACCTCCACACGGCCGAGGACCTCATGAGAGGCCGAGACACGCGAGCAACCTGGCGAGCGATGAACTCGCCCTCCATATCCGCATCAAGGGCGAGGACAAGCATGTCGCTGTTGCACCTAAGATGTGGGCATGGGTTGTGCTGTTGGGAAGACCCCACGGCAGCCATCGGCCGAGCATCGACAGTTGTCGCAGCTGCTCCCTCATCTTCTTCTGCACTGGCCTGCATCAAAGATCGCCCTGTGATATGAATATAGGGGTGGGAATGGCTGCCCATTGCCTGAAACAATCGTCTACCAGCTCCCGCGTGAACATCTCGGGTGAGGCTGCGCCCTTGCTCGTCCTGGCCAATCCACCACTCATTCGCGTTTCGGTAAAGTGCCCGATCGTCGAAGACACGCACCTCAGCCAAGCAAAGGGAGCCTCGCAAAACCAGTGATCTTCTTCGGCATACAACGTCAGCAGTGGCCCCAGGTCTCCAAAATTGAGCCAAGAACCATCGTGCAGGCGAGCCGTTGTAGTCCCGCTCAAAGTGATACACTCTCGTCACGAACTCGCGAGGCTTCACAAGCTCCGGCTCCTCGTGCAGTGCCCTTGCCTTAGTCAGGGGAATTGAGCTCAACAACTTCGTTTTTTGCACGGATTCTTAGTCCCAAACTGGAGGCTGTACTCAGGCGGCTGCCCATGCTCTGGCCATCGCCGGCTTCTCAGCAATCAACACGATCCGAAGCATGTGGTCCTCTGAAGGCCACATGTCCCAAATGGCTGGGCACACGCGAGAATGAGAAGAGTGGGCAAAGCTTTGGATCGAAGGCGTGACGGTTACGTTGGGGCCGCCACTGGGCCCCCCTGTGGCACCTGGCCTTGCCTGCCACGGGCGCCGAGGCGCACGAGGGGCAGAAGCTCTTCCGGCACTGACCAACGCTTCAAGCTGGAGATCGAGTTGCCTGCCGCGGTCTTCCGGACGGACCAGGTTTCCCATGTTCTCTTCAAGGCCCTGTCTCATGGTCAGAAGCAAGATCTCGTCATCAGGGAGGTTCTCATCCTCGTCCTCAAAGATGTCCTCCTGAAGTTCCCCAGCCGGGCCCGCTTCAATGCTCGCCACATCAAAGCTCGAGCCCCCGAGCTTCTGAGCCGCTTCGATGAATCGCTTCCACAAGGAAGCGCAGCATCCCGCGCAGCCGAGCGCCTTCGCATCTCCCACGACCTGAAACCACATGGGTATGGGGTTGGGGCCGTTACAGGACTGTTGAGGACAGTTTAGGCTTTTAGGGCGCCTATCAGACAGTAGGGCGGGCCCAAGTTCCCAGAACCTGCCGAGCGACAATCACACAGCGTCGTGCTCGTGTCAGGGCAACATTCAGCATGGCCTCGTCGCTGAGGAAGCCGAAACTGCTTTGCAGGGATGCGTCCATGCAGTGCGACGCCACCGTGCAGACGATGACAACATCGAACTCCTGACCCTGCACATTCGAGATTCGCTGAACATCCACTCTTCTTCGACCGCGGAGCTCGCGAAGTCTCCAAACTTGCGGCAGCTCGGTGGAGATAACGCCCACATCCGCAGCACGGAGGCTCTCAGAAATGTTCTGGGCCACTTCCAACACCTGTCTGACCTCTGCCATGTTAGCGCAGCCGTGAGGCTCATACTCCAGCTCTTCTGCCTTCTCCTCAACGTGTAGGAACTGCAGGGCTGGGACACAGGTTTTTTTTCTCACCCAAGGCGGAGCTTCGGCCTTGAGCTCCTGGCCGTAGAAGTTCCTTCCGACGAAGCTGACAATGTCAGGATGTGAGCGGTAGTTCGCATTCAGCAAGACCCGCAATGTCTTCGCCTCTTTTCGCTGGTAGAGCAGGAACATGCGTTGGAGCAAGGACTGCAGGTCAGGACCTGCCTCCTGCGCAAAGTTGGAGGACGACTGGCAGCGCATCTGCTTGTGGTCCCCTGCAATGATGAGACACGTCCTCGGCCCGGCGCAGGCGACTGCTTGCAAGGTCTCAGGCTCCTTGGCCTGACCACCCTCGTCCACGAAGATGTGCGTGAAATGGTCCTCAATAGCGGTGATCCTCTTTGCGATGGCATTCGCCAAGCTCAACGTACAGATGACAATCTGTGCAGCAAGAAGCTGGTCAATGGAAAGGTCGGCAAGGCTTGCAGAGCACTGCCTCACTGCGTCAGAGATGCGCCCACTTCGAGAATTTGCACATAGGCGAAGCACCGTGATACGCAAGTGAGAGTCAGCGTTGCGCAGATAGCGCTCCACAAACAGATCTGCTGCTGAGTTGGTGAGTGTGCATATGAGAATCCGAGCCTGCTGCGAGTACCTTGTAACGCAGATGGCAGCATGCGCAAGCGTCAGTGTCTTGCCCGTGCCCCAGGGCCCGTAAACCAGCAAAGGTGGCAAGCTGCATTGAAGACCGCAAAGTGCAAAGCTCATCACCCCAAGCTGTGCAGGATTCGGAGGCGGAAGGTGCCAATCGGTGAACTGCCGTGCGACGGACTGCATCGCATCCAGCTCGAACTGGGTGGGAGGCAGGTAGCACTCCAAGTTGGGCAACACCAGTCGGTGCATCACGCGCTGAGACATGATGTCCACCACTTCATGCTGGAAACTTATCTCTCTGCGATCAAACTGGAACTGCACATGCACACGTGCAATCGGGTGTCTGCAGAGGCACTGCAAAGCCTGCGGCTGCAGCCACAACTTCACTGCCAGAGTCTCCTCTTCTTGGACCTGCAGCTGCACCTGCGCACGATGCACCGAAGCCCCAAACCCTAAATCCAAGCATGCCTAAACACAGACTTCGGGTGGAGCCTCGAAGACATCCCTGCTTGTAGCACTGGAAGCTAACCAAGCTTTGTTGCAGCGGCCGCGCAGGAGTAGTTGGCCCCCTTTCAAAACAAGATTTCGCGTTTCTTGGGTCTTGTTCCGGAACAGGAACTTAGTTTCAGTTGCCTGGCGAATGACATGCTTTCCTTCGCATTAAAGCAACTCAACATTTGTTCTCATGTCTTGTCCTCTTCCGAACCCTTCTCGTCCCATCAGGCCTTCACGAAGCTTTCCGCCCTCACCGAGATCGATTACAGCTGTGGCACCTGCTGCATCCTGCAGGTTGCAGCGCAGTTGGGCAAAGGACAAAAGGCTGTAAGGACTTGCAAGCTGCAAGAAGAAGAAGAAGCTACAAACAGCCCGCCTCTGGCAACAACAACAACGTGAGGTCATAATCGCCAGAGAGCGTGTGAAGCTTTGCAGTGTCTGCCTCCTCTTCTTTCTTCAGAAAGCAATGAAGGTTCATTTGATATTCTTTCACATCGTTCCACTCGAGCCTGCCGTTATCTTGGCAGTATATGGAATCGAGAGAAGCCTCAGGGGGTTTGTGCTTCAGCATCAGTCTCGACGGCTCCTCACGACCTTGCACCCTTGTCCACCATGTCCAGCGTTTGGGCTCCTGGCTGATCGACTCTGTCAGTGTGGCCTCGCTAAGAAGCGAGCCATGGCAGTAATTCTCCACCGTCACAGAGAAGCGCTTCATGACAAAGGGCGGGCCTCCGAAATCAAGGATCAACCACTGCTCGAAGCGACCAAACCTCCCCACGGCAAAGTTCAAGGAAAGCTCGCTCACCTGCTGAGCAATCTGCAGCTCTTGGTACTTGACCGGGTCCTTCTCCAGCTGAAGCCAAAAGCAAGAGGACTTCGTTGGGTCAAGCAAACAAGCTCTGCGCAAGTGTCCGCCTGCCACCTCGCAATGCCAAGTATGCTTCGCCGGGGTTTCCGGAAGGCTCACAGAGCATGCTGCTGCGCAGTGTAGTAAGCTGTCGCTTGCAGGGTTGTCTTCCCGAAGAAGCCCTTGGAGCGCCTGAGATTGCAACTGGTTGTTTGGACCGTGTCTTGCAGGTGAAAAGAAGAGAGCCTTCGCAGAAAGGGAAAGAAAAGACGCTTCAGCCTGCCTCAACCGCCAACAGAAAACTCCGCCAAACAGGTCCTGGATGCATCCAAGGCGGATAGCGCTTGTCGAGACGATTGCGGCCCCAAACTCGCAAGATGCCCCGTGGCCTGAATGGCGGCGCAACGCAGGGCTCTTGCTTTTGGGCTCAAAGTGACTCAAAGTTGAAGCTTAGGGTTTAGGGTTTAGGGTTTAGGGTTTAGGGTTTAGGGTTTCGAGCCTTTACCGTTAGAGCTCAATGTCTCCATAGCTTTGGGGCTTCAGGCTTCAGGGCTTGGACCGCGAACCCAGAAGAACAAGCCCGAAACAACTTAAATCGCCGCAATGGGGTGGGTTGGTGGGCCGTTCCGCCAATGTGAGCTAGGATTAGGGGGACCCTTTGGGATATAGACCCTCTCAATAAGGTCCCTTTTAAGAGAGCCAAAAGTAGTGTTCAGAAGGGGTACAGTTTAAGGGGTACCCCTAGCTATACTACCTAGCCAAGAAGCCGAGAACCACTTGAAAGCAAGATCTCGTCGCCAGGGTTGCAGTCCGTTGGCAGAGCTAAGCTCCAGGCGACCTCAATCTGGGAGAAGCCAAGCTGAAGTTTGGATACTAGGGGGGTGACGGGGGTCTGCTTCCTAGACAGCGGTGAACGGGCTCCGCACAACTAAATCATATGCACAATCTTGCTGCGAGGACATAAGGCATCGACGCTCCAGAAGCTTATGACGCTGTCTCCACTCGCAAAGCTCGGATTCTGAATGCGCGTGGCTGCATGTGGACCCAGCTTGACACCGATGATAGGACTGAAATCGACTGCACAGCCCCAAAGAGTGCCTTTGAGGTGGTGGACGCTTCTTCCAGTCGTACATCTGTTGAAGCTCCATGTTCATGCAATCGACATGCTGCTGCGACTGCAAATGCTGACCAAACTCCTGCTCTGTCGCAAAGACATCGGCACAAGAGTGGCATCGGAAAGCAGCTTGGTCCGCCAAGAGGAACTGTGGCTCCATCACCAACTCTTCACTGGCAATTCCGCTTCGAAGCACATTCCACACATCCAACTCTATCTCGCTGTGTGCATATGGGCACTGCTGCCTGCAGCGCTTCCCCGAGAAGACATGGACGCAACCGCTGACATATTCTCCAGGCTTGCGGATCACAGTAACTTCGGCACTTTCGTCGGCTGGGGGCTCGTACACCAGCTGCCGTGCTGCTTCGGATGCTCCGTGGCCACGCTTGCACGCACAGCCAGGCACAGCTCGCTGAATGCTATAGCACCTACCACAGCAGAAACGGAAGGTGCCCCTATGTTTCCGTAGAAGCTCCTGCTTGGAGCACACCAAATCAGGAGGCTTCACCAAGCAGAGAATGCCTTCGCTCCGTTTAAGCCAAGGGCTCTTCTTGAAGATCCAATCTGTGAGAGAGCTATAGCCCAGGGACCTGACATCGAGAGCTTCGCCATATCTGCTGCCATAAAGCCTCTTCAGCTGATTTTCATAGAGGCCTTCCCGAAAGATGCCCAGTACCTCACGGACTCGGGTAGCCACCTGCTGCTCCATCACGCAAGGCGACCGTGCCTGAGTCACCTTGATCCAAAGGCAAATTGAGTTGCGACGAACGCGCCGCTAACCGAATGCAAGTCGCTAGATTGCATGCTGCATGTTCGAACTCATGAACGAAGCTTGGACATCGAGCAACAAGATGACTTCGAAACTGGATGCACAATGGCTTCGTCAGTTGACGGGGTCCTGCTCATTGAAACTCGCCTGCTCAAGCTCATGTTTTCAACTGCGCAGAGCGTGCGGCACATGGCACCCAGAAGGGCGGATCCTCATCTTGCCCACGCCTTTGCATGAAGAACAAACATTTGCTCCAAAGTCACCAGCTGCTACTACTACTACTACTACTACTACGACGACTACTACATGTATACGTGTATATACTTGTATATACTTGTATATGTAATATGTATATACATGCTTCAACCAAGGGCTTGTGGCTGCAGCTTGTGTAACTCCAAGCAGACCCTTTGTCACTGAGGCCGACACTCTGTCCACGAAGCCGATGTGCGGAACCGACAAGTGCGATGTGTCGGCTGTCCATATCTCAGCAGTGCTTCTGAGGAATTGGGATCCATAGTTGAAGGGGTGGAAGGGTTTGGGGTGCACGTCTTGAATTTCAAATGAAGCCGTGCCCACAGAACACCTCCCTGCTATTGAGGCATCACGGCCCGAAACACACCAAAAAACAAAGACTCTCGCTTTCACAATCGACTGGAAGGTCACATATCCTTTCTTCGTCGCAGTCGATTCAGTCGGTCTGCAGAGGTCTGCGCATATCCGGATAAGCTCCGAGCACGGGGGCATTCTCCAGGTTGCATAGCAGTTCTGGATTTGTTGATAAGACAATGGTACAGCGGTCTGCTTGACAGGACCTCAGCCTCAACAGGTACTGACAACGAGCTCTGAACAGCCTCGCACAGTTACCGCACAGCGGACCGCACGGGTTGCCAGCTCTTGCAAAGGTTACAGGAAAGTCTTTAAGCTCCACCTTTGACCCTCCGTGGGAAAAAAGCCGCCTGCGGCGCCCTCGCCAAACTGCAAGAGGTAAATCACACCACAGACTGCGAGCACCGTCGTGGTTGGCACATCAGGCCCTTCAGGCTGTTGCACATCGCTTACGCCTCGATCTTTTGCACCTCGCTGTCCTTCTCGCTGTAGGGGCCCTGGATGATGCCTGCCCGCTGCAAGCCCACGTGCGCCGCGAAGAACACCGTGGCCAATGACCAGGAGACTGCCCAGCGCCAGCCGTTGTTGTACTCGTGGTCCTCTTTTCCGTAGAAGCCGATCTTCTCGTCTTCCTCGGTTGGGGGCACGCTGTCATTC